ATATATATATATATATATTCATCATGAATAATTGATGTGAATTTTTTACAACATTCATGATAAAATATCCATGACACGTGACACATTTTAATTTGATGGTTCTTCGATTTACCACGAAAATGTAGTTTTCAACCAAACCTATATATGTGTGTGTTTATGTGACAAAATTGACATGCCGATATGCTAAGAATCAATTTAACAAGAGTATTTAATATGATTTTGAAGTTTAATGGTTCAATGTTAATATTAAGTTGTTACAATAAATTAACCTAATATATTTTATTATTAGTTATGTAGTAGCGAGCAGAAGCATCATCAACCTATGATTCTTTTTCCATATCAGTTAGATTGTTATATTGATTATCTATTTGGTTTTTTTATTGTCCTGAATATTCAATTCGCTACGTGAGTTGACTAATCTAAGGGCAACTATCCGTTTTACGGGTAACCCGGAGTCACCGCATTTGAAACTTTATGGTCACAAAAAAAAATTTATTTCTTCTTGGATTCAAATTTGAGACCTCCAGACACTTTTGACCTTTGGAGTCTAAGCTTAAATCAATCGGACACCACCCTTATAGTCAATTTAGTTATTGTCATAGGCTTTCATAATCATATGTAGTGTTTGTCATGTAATGAATATATACATGTCTACCCATATATGCATAAATATAAAAATTTAAATAACAACAATAAATGTTTTTGAAAATTATAATTATTAGTATATTTTTAAATGTATATGTTTATATATACAGGTATATATATATATATATATATGTATTATTTCATACATTCACATCGAAATTCATATATACACATTATATATGTAATGGTTGTCATGATTTTTAGAATAATTTTGATTTTATTTGGTATATATATAAAAGCTAAAAAGTAAAAGACATAATTATATATGATAAAGATTTTTGAGAAGATGATGGAGTGTTTGTCTTTTCAAGGAAGAACCAACATCATACAACTACTTTCGTGTACTAATTCCCAAACATCTCCCCCAATCAATGCATTGATTAATAACATATATATATATATATATATATATATGGTTGGGTTCACGTGAGATCAAAGGTTTTTCGTGAGACCCGTAAGACTAATTTATGTTCATTGATCAACTTTATAAGCTAATGATCTAATGGTCTAAAATTGCACAGTGGCAATTCTGTGATTATTGAGAAGTCTCGTGGCGTTTATGAATGTTCAGATTGTAGATCTAATACAATGGTTGAGAATTGGTCTTACGGGTTTCACGAAAAACCTTTGTTTCTCACATGATCCCAAATCTCTCTCTCTCTCTCTCTCTCTCTCTCTATATATATATATATATATATATACACTAGTGCATAATGTATTATTTATCCAAGACAAAGATTTTATATATAGATTAACATATATTTGTTTCACAATATGAACTTTTTAAACTTGTTTATGAAAAAAAAAAAAAGTTACATGTAAAAATGTTTTACATTATGAAACAAATATATGTTCATCAATTCATTAATTATTAGCCTTAAATAAAAATAATAATGTGAAACAATACCTAGTATAAAAGTTCTCACGGTTATCACAATATATGAAGTTTTCAAATAATTAAGCCCTTATATATAATGATTAAATGAGAAAATTAAATATCGTGAAAATGTTAGAAATTGAACTTCATAATGTTGGTTCTCATATACATCTTTAAATAGATTTACTTTTTCGAATTTTTTTATTAATTTACATATGAAATTTTCCTTAATTTCACTTTCTAATATTCTCATGTAGTCCCTGGAGAGTATGTTTACTAATAGATCTATAGAAAAGTAATTTGACTCGTCAGAGGAAGGTGAGGATGTCGTCAAGTCATCATTACCTTATGCCCACACAATCTGAATTGACTCATATATAGAGAGGAAGTTATGGGAGAAGTTAAACATTTAGCGAGATTGCGGGAATATCATATATGATTACACTCATTTAGATGTATTTAATCATATATAATTAAGCGTATGTTCTGTCAATGCAACATATGTCTAATCATATGTGGTTAATCTTGTGTATCATACGTGTAATAATATATGATTAAGTGTCTATGTTGTCAATGTTCGTTATTCATGATAAATGGGGTGTGTCGCACTCTCCATCGTCCCGCTAGTTTATGGTGTAAACAAGTCGAGTAACATGTTATTCAAGTTTGGCTCTAAAAAATAAAATCAAGTACGAGCTCGAATAACTTTTTTAAAGTCAAGCTCAAATGTTTTTTCAATATCTGAGTTGGATGCTCGTTTACGAGCTTGACCTCAAGATCGATTAACTCATTTATTTACTCAAGCTTTATGATTTATATATTTTAATTATATAAGAGATGATTTAAACAACTTTAAACTATAAGGTCACGTTTGGTTTGTAAAAATGAAATAGATTTGGAGGGATTTGCACTTCAAATCCATTCCAATCTCATGTTTGGTTTGTTGGATTGTTCGGATTTGAAATACCAGGATTTAATTGAAATCCTTCAAACATAGGATCTTGAAATCCTACTCCCTCAGGATTTCATTGGATTTCGTAGTATGGTATGCAATAAGGTTTTAAAAAATGTTAAAAACATTTGTTTTGTAATAATTGATTAATAAAAATGTAGTTCAATTATTTTTATAATTATTTATATTTTTTTCTATAAATTATTTATAATAATGAAATTCATTTTAATTCCAAATTCCAAATCCTACAAACCAAACACACCAATGATTTTAAATTCATTTCAATCCAAATCATTTCATGAAAAATCTAAATCACTCAAAAACAATCCTATAAACAAACAGAACCTAAGGGTTTTTTATGGTATTTCCTATTACTTTTATTATTAAAATAATAGCCATTTGTTGTACCTTTAGAAGTTAAAAAATGCACTGGATTGATTGTCTTTTACTTTTCCTGATTTTAGTATTGGTCAAATTTCCAATCGGGTGTGCAGGTAATACTTTTTGCACTTATTATATATATATATATATATATATATATATATATATATCCATCTGTTCGGTATGTATATATATATTATAAAAATAATTGAAAAAATGTTTCTTGTTTTTTTATGTATATATACGTTTTATGCACACATATATATATATACACCAGACAAATTACAATATGTACATATAATATACCTACCGGACAAATGAATAGTTATTAAAGTGTTCTTCAACTTTCTATTTTTATGTAATTTTACCCTGAACGCAAACCTATTATATATATATATATATATATATATATATATAAAATATAATATAATAGTAATAATAAGAGTAATAAATTAACTACGTCCGTCCAACACACTCCAACCCTTTTGCACCTCCGGTGGGTAGGGAAAATGATTCACATCATCACATGCCACCGTAATTCTCTTCAAAAGTTTCTACACTTTTTATTACTACTTTCCATCGAACTCTAATCATCAAATACGGAATTCAAATTCAACTCATCCTATATCTATATCTATACATATATATGTAATTGCATGAAAAAGATTGGAAACGTACCTCCATTAAGCCAAAGAAGAAGTGGCAAAGACGACGACTTCTTAGGGTTCTCAGCTTCGACAAAGTAGTAATAAAAAGCTCGGCCCGCAGATTCGTTAATCGTAACATAACCACCGTACTGGTCGAATTTCACGTACGGTTGTCCAGGCAATTTCTTGATCTTATCATTCTCCTTTTGAGCTCCATGATCAATAAGTGTTGCTGAGTTATGCAAATGCTGAACGGGCTCGAAATGGCTGGTGGTATTTACGGTACCGTCTTTCGACATTTTGGCTTTGTAGAATCGAACCAACGAATGGAGCTGCTTGTTGCCATGAATAAAGCTGCAGGCTGAGAGGAACAGGAAAAGAACCAAAAGGGTTTTATTCGCCATTGTTGTCTCTCTCTAGAGAGAGAGAGATAAGAGATTGATTGGTGTTTATAAATTTAGGGTTTGGATCCAAAGTGTGTGTGGAGTTAATTTATATGGTAGATTGTGGATGACGTACGTTTACATGTTGGTCTCAACTAATTTCAATGTTTAAGCAACAAGTAATATCAACCCTTCTTCATTTAATGCATAATTTAAATTAAATATTATTTAATTATTAAAGAAATCTTGCCACCAGTAATTTTTTTATAATAATAATAATAAGAAGAAGGATAATGTGAATATTGAATTTCAAGGTGGAAACCTTTTGAAAAGTAATTTTTTTATGGAAAATATATCGTAAACGTAGATGTTTTAGTCATAAGTTAAAACGAAGCTAAGGGGCCGTTTACTAAATACTTACCCAGTAAGTGCGGATCGGATAACTTTTCTCACCTGATACACATGACAAGGGCTAAAAATCTTACCCGTTAAGAGCGATGATAGAAATAGAAAGTCTTACCCGGTAAGTGATAGTGAGGACTCTTACCCGGGTAAGCGTCTACCGGGTAAATTGTTACATACGATACCGTTTTAATATACTACAATCCTATCTGGTAAAATAGACTATAGTGTTTACTCCAACCAATAAGCGTTTACCGGATAATTATTTGGATAAATGGCCCCTAAATCTCGATATAAACCGTATAATTATGTATTTAATTATTATTTTGAAAATACGCTTTCAAAATTCTTATTTAAAGGTTTATAAAAAAAATGTTTCCTTGAATATATAACTTTTAAACTATATTTTTATAATAAGAATCGATTTAGAGTATATATTAATTGTCATGTTTAAACTTTATTATCTATTAAAATGGATTATTTTTTATTTTATTTTATGTGGAGGAGAATGTATACTAATTAATTAATAATAATTAAAATTAAATGGAGGTTGAGAAGAAAACAAGAGAAAGAACAAAGAGAATATGATTTTTGGGAAAATCACACTCGCAACACTCAAGAGATATGGTGATTGCAAATGGTGTACATTCAAGTTGTACTGAAATTACGTTCTCACCCCTGGACGTATGTGAAATTACATTCTCACCCCCAAATTTATGCATATAGACCACAAAGGCTGGATGTTCAAATACGATATCTCAACTATTAGCAAATATGCGTACACTTTGAAATCATGGATTTTTAGTCATTTTATTATTTTCTTCTACACTTTATTCTTTCAACGTTATTTTATTTTTTATTAATTAAAAAGAATTCAAAAACATATTCACATTTCCATCCCAAAAATCAAATCAATTAAAACTCACATGTTCAACTCGAAAAATCTAAACTAAATTTAAATACTAAAGACCATTAAAACCGAATAAAGCTTATTAGACTCAATAAAACTGAATAAAGTCCAAGAAATTAGATTAAGACCCAATAAAAAACCGAATAAAGCTCATTAGACTCAATAAAACCGAATAAAGTCCAAGAAATTGTATTAAGACCCAATAAAAACCGAATAAAGCCCATTAAGACTCATTAAACCGAACAAAGTCTAATAAAACTAAATAAAGTCCAATAAAATGTATTAAAGCTCAATAAAACTGAACAAAGCCTAATAAAATTGAATAAAGTCCAATAAAGTAGATTAAGGTCCAATAAAACTGAATAAAGTTCATTAAGACCTAATAAACTCAATAAAGCTCGATAAATGGATTAAGACCCAATAAATTGAACAAAACACAATAAAATGGGTTAAGGCCCAATAAAACCGAATAAACCCCAAATAACACACACATACCATCTATACATTCACACATATACATACGTTTAAACATATATACATCATCCGATATATATATATATATATATATATGTATCTTAAACAATATATATATATATATATATATATATATATATATCGATCCAATCATAGTTAACAAGTAGCACACATCCATACACATCGTGTATACATATGTATATAACACGGACCGACATGTATATATACATATAATACATACAACATCGTGTAAACATATGTATATAACATGGACCGGCGGATATATCCACATATAACACATACAACATCGTGTAAACATATGTATATAACACGGGCTGACGGGTATATATACATATAATACATACAACACCATTTAAACATATGTGTATTATATGTACACATGTGTATGTCTTATATATATATATATATATATATCCATTTTATTGGACTTTATTTGGTTTTATTAGGCTTTGTTCGGTTTAATGGATCTGAATGGGTTTTATTTGGTTTTATTGGACCTTAATTCATCTTCTTGGACTTTATTCGGTTCTATTGGGCATAATGGGCTTTATTCGGTTTATTGGGCCTAATGAGCTTTATTCGATTTTCTTGGACTTTATTCGGTTTAATGGGCCTTAATGGTCTTTATTTGGTTTTTATTAGGCCTAATGGGCTTTATTTGATTTTATTGGACTTTATTCGGTTTTATTGGGTCTTAATGGGCTTTATTCGGTTTTATTAGGCCTTAATCCATTTTATTGGATGTTATTCGATTTTATTAGGCTTTGTTAAGTTTTATTGGGCCTAAATGGGCTTTATTTGGTTTTATTGGACCTCAATGGGCTTTATTCGATTTTATTATATTTTATTCGGTTTTATTAGGCCTTAATGGGCTTCATTCAGTTTTATTAGGCCTTTATCCATTTTATTGGACGTTATTCGGTTTTATTAGGCTTTGTTAAGTTTTATTGGGCCTCCATGGGCTTTATGCGGTTTTAATGGGTCTAATGGGTTTTATTCGATTTTATTGGACTTTATTTGGTTTTATTGGGTCTTAATAAGGTCTTAATAGTGCGAGCAGAAGAGGAGACGAGCGAGAGAGACCGTCGTCGGACCACCAGCACCACCACCGTTAGCCAACACCGAAAGCGCTGAGAGTTGTGAGTCAAGCTATTGCCGACCACCAGCACCACCACCCCGTCGCCGGCCCACCACCTTCACTTGACGTACTTATCGATTGTTCCAAGGCTCCAAAGATTGTATATGTCTCCAAAGACCGTAAAAGAGATGACTTGGCGTTACGATCATCGGGCAAAACCAAGTGAGATGGTACATTCAAGTGATGGTGCGGCTTGGAAGCATTTCGACATAAGGGATCCTAACTTTGCTTATGAGATCTAGAATGTTCGTCTTGGGTTATGCACCGACGGTTTCAACCCGAATAATTCAACTTCGAATCCGTATTCACTATGGCCCGTCTTTATTACCATCTACAGTTTACCTCTTTGGATGTCTTTGAAAGATTCATATGTTGTGTTTGCATTGGTCATTCCTGGTAGAAAGAGCCCCGGTCAGAATTTGGATGTGTTTTTCAGGCCGCTAATAGATGATCTAAAAATGTTGTATACAGAGGGTGTACTTACGTATGATGCGTATCGTAAGAATAATTTCGAGATGAAGGTTATACTACTATGGGCCGTCAGCGACTTCCCGGCTTATGCAATGTTATCACGTTGGAGCACGCATGGCAAGTTATCCTGCCCGTATTGCATGGGGAACATGGATTCCTTGCAGTTAAAAAATTGAGGGAAATCATGTTAGTTTGATTGTCATCGAAGATGGTTACCTAGAACACACCCTTTCCATCGTGATCGAAAAGGATTTATGGTAGGTAACAGGGTGTTAACCGGTCCACCACCTGAGGTAACCGATGAAGAGATCTGGGAGCTCATTCGTTACCTTCCAACTGTTTATGAGGGTTTCCCATATAGTTCAAAAAATAGAAATATTAGTGGGTTCGGAACCAATCATAATTGGGTAAAGAGAAGCATCTTTTAGGAGTTGCCATATAGGAAAACGTTGTTGATCTGACACAACCTCGATGTCATGCATATTGAGATTAACATACTTGAGAATCTCTTTAACACGGTCATGGATACGTCAAAAACTAAAGACAATATAAAGGCAAGGAGTAATGTAGAGATTTATTGCGATCGACGAGATTTGCACATTGCCATGTCAGGTAACAAAGTAGTGAAACTGAAGTCATCGTACAGTTTGAGCAAACAACAAGTAAAACAAGTGTGTGCATGGTTGAAGAAGTTGAAATTTCCAGACAGGTATGCTTCGAATATAGGAAGTTGTGTGAACCTAGAAGATTCTAGCTCTTATAGCTTGAAGAGTCATGATTGTCATGTGCTTATGTAACAGTTGCTTCTTATTGCTTTACGGGGGATGATACCAACTTCGATATGGGATACATTAACGGAGTTGTGCACATTCTTYCGTGTGATATGTTCAAGAGTGTTACACATAGATGACTTGGTTCCATTGCAAACAAGTATTGTTTAAACAATTTGCAAGTTGGAAAAGGTCTTTCCGCCCGGATTCTTTGATTCAATGGAACACCTCGTGATACATTTGACACGTGAAGCTATAAATGGTGGTTCGGTCCAATATAGGTGGATATATCTCTATGAGAGGTGAATCCCTAATTTTACTGAAATCTACTGCAATATATTAATATAAAACACTATTTCTATCCCTAACACGTATTTCATTTCTTTAGGAAGCTTGGGTCGTTAAAGAGAACGGTTCAAAACAAAGCAAGGGTTGAGGGATCTATTGTTCAGTCGTACCTTGTAAATGAAATTTCTACCTATTGCCCCTTCTATTTTGATCCAACAATAGAAAAAAGACATAATCGTGAGTCAAGGAACTTTACCCCGAATATCTCTAGTTGTTTGAAAACCGACGATCGATTATGCATATTCAAGGTTCCATCTCGTCCACTATTCGCGAATGGTGAGAAACAGATAATATTAAATGAACATGACCTGGAGACTATCCATAGATATGTCTTGTTCAACTGTGTAGAAGTTCAACCTTTCCAGTCCACTTTTGATGAAAAGATTCAACAAATAGAACCGAATATTGATGATGTTGAACTTGATAGAATTCGGGAGGAGAGGTTTGCTGACTAGTTCTCGCACCACGTGAGTATATATATTGGCCACTGGTATCATTATATATAATGCAATTATGTACATTATGTG